AGGAGACGAGGGAGCCGTACCCCGGGGGCTGCTGGGTGTGCTCAGCTCTATTTAAGTGTTTTCAGGAATCCAGTTCGCTGGTTTCTCCTGCAGACGTTGTTCTGAGCTAACTACGCGCTCTTGCAAGGTGTTAAAGACTCAGTGACAAAAAGACAGGCCTCTGCCCGCAGGGACGTGCAGGGCAAACCGCAGGACGGGCGGTGAAGAGTTGTGCGCACTGCGACGGGGGTGGCTTTCGAACGATGGGGGCTCCGGGAGGAAGAGGCTGCTTGAAGGACGGCAGGGGCGGGCAGGGGATGCGGAGGCTGTGGGGACGGGGCCAAGGCCAGCACCCGTGGGACGGCCCGTGGATGGGCTGCAGGCAGCTCAGCACGGACGCGTCCAGGGCGGGACAGGGCGAGGCAGGCAGGGGACCGGCCGCAGCAGGCCCCACGCGGTGTAAGCTTTCTGGTTTTGGGGGGGCAGTAAATACACGTAACATAAAAATCCTCATTTTAACCATTTTTAAGCGAAACAATTTAGTGGTATTAAGTACATTCACATTGTTGTATCACATGCTGTATGTTTTCAAAGGGACTTAAAATCTTCCAGACCCAATTTTTAAAATTTATTATTAATCTTCTCCCAAGGAGTGAGGATATTTTTTCCATTGACTTTTAGAGAGAGTGGAAGGGAGGGGGCGGGGGAGAGAGAGGAACATCGATGTGAAAGAGGCACGTGGATTGATTGCCTCCCGCATGCAGACCAGGGCTGGGGATGGAGCCTGCAGCCCAGGTACTTGCCTGGTCGGGGACTGGAACCCGCGACCCCCCCGCCCAGGCCGACACTCCAACCACTGAGCCATGCCGGCCAGGGCAACACCTAATTTTTTTAAACTTAATTGTTTTTTAAGTTGTAACTCTAGAGTGGATACAATAATAATATATATATATGTCACTATGCACATATGTGATACATATATATCTATGTATCACAACGTATATAATAATGATACATGTAATTTTTAAATACGTTCAAGTAGTCACTGTGCAGCCAGCGTCCAGACGAAGGGACAGAATGTCGCCAACGTCTCCCTCCCCCTGTAAAGGGCCAGCCCGTGCGCCTCTTGGTTCCACGGCCCGGCTCCGGGGACAGCTGCTCAGCTCCCGGCCCGGCCCTCGGCGCCCTCAGGCAGCGCATTGCTGTCCTCTCCATCGCCGGGTGACAGCGTCGCACCGCGGTTTCCATTGGCGCGTGCCAGTGACTGACGGGGCCGGGCGCCTTTCATCTCTCCCCCGCAGTCAGGTCTCCTTTGCCCCGAAGCCTGCGGGGCCTTTGGCGGTCTTCGCACCGGGCTGTCCGTCTTCTCCTCACTGGCCGGTGGGGACCTTGCTGTGCTTGGGCCACTAGCCTTTCGTGACAGGTGACGTGAACTCTTCTCCCAGTTTCTGTTCTATCTGCACCGGTTTGATCTGGTATCTTTTGAAATGCAAGTTCTTTTTCATACAGCCGAATATATTGGCATTTCCCAGCAGCCTTGTTGAAGAGTCATGAGGATATTATTATTCGTCCTCTGGGGCTCAGCACCTCAGCGTCCGCGCTCGGGCCCTGGAGTCGGCACTGGTGCCCCATATGCGCCCTGAGGAGGGCGGGGCCCAGCTCCACTCTCCGTGATCGGTCATCCTGGTGCCTTCACCGGAGAGCCCGCCCCG